TTGAAAAATGTCCTTCATTGTTGTATTTCCAATTCCCAGTCTGCTTTTGTGCCTGGTAGGCAGATTCTTGACAATATTATAGTAGCTAATGAATGTCTCCACTTTATTAATAGTAGGAAAAAAGGCAAAAGATGTTTTTTGGCCCTCAAGCTTGATATGGAAAAAGCCTATGATAGAATTGAGTGGCACTTCCTTATTGATGTGTGCAGGAGGATGGGTTTTTGTGATAGATTTCTGAAGTGGATCTGGGCATGTATTAGTACCTCTTCTTTCTCTTTTAATTTTTCTGGGCAAGCCTTAGGCCAAATTTTCCCTTCTAGAGGCCTTAGGCAGGGATGTCCTTTGTCTCCTTATTTATTTATTATTGCTTCAGAAGCCCTTTCTAATCTGATTAATATTGCCTGTTCTTGCCAAAAATTTAGGGGTCTGCAAATTAGTAAACATGCCCCTAGTATTTCTCATCTATTTTTTGCAGATGATGCACTTATCTTTTGCCAGGCTGATTCTGCTCATGCTCTTTTGCTTTCTGACATTTTGAAATCTTATTGTGCTATGTCTGGGCAAGCAGTCAACATGCACAAATCTAATATTTTTTTCTCCAGTAATACCCCTGACTTTTTGAAATCTGAAATTTGCCAAATCTTCCAAGGGGTAGCTGTAGCCAAATATTCTAAATACTTGGGGCTTCCTCTGGGTATAGGGAGATCCAAAAAAGATACTTTTTATTTTGTTAAAGAGTGTGTTGTGGCAAGGGTCACCAATTGGAAAAACAAGTTTTTGAGTGAAGCTGGGAGGGAAGTTCTGATTAAAACCATTTTGGCTGCCCTCCCCATTTATGTTATGTCTGTTTTCAAAATTCCTGTTGGTATCTGTGATGAGCTGTGTAAGATCATTGCCAACTTCTGGTGGGGTAGTAATGGGGAAGGGGGGAATAAAATCCACTGGATGCAATGGGAGAGGTTGGCTAAGTCTAAGAGTGAGGGGGGGGCTGGGTTTTAGAAACTTCAGGGATCTTAATGAGGCTCTTATCATTAAACAAATCTGGAGAATGCTTACTGAGCCTCATAATCTTATGAGTCAAGTCATGAGAGGTAAGTATCTCTATGGGAAAACTTTTCTGGAGGTTACTAAGAGGGATAGTGACTCCTGGTTGTGGAAAGGGTGGTTAGATGTTAGGGCATCCTTCAAGATTGGGGCCTGTTATATGGTGGGAAATGGGCAGTCTATAGATATATGGGATTCTCCTTGGATCCCTAAAGCCACTAGGTTTGTACCCCAATGTTGCTTTCCAGGTGACAAAGTTAATTTAAACAGAGTGGCTGATCTAATGCTTGCAGGAAGAAGTGAGTGGGACAGTGATCTAATTTTTCAAACCTTCACTCCCCAAGATGCAGAAAACATCCTCAAGATTCATATCAGTAAGCTGGGGAGACCTGACAAGTTGATTTGGCTGCCAAATAAAAAAGGAACCTGTACAGTAAAAAGTGCTTATCAAGCTATTCAGAGGCAGAAGAATTTGGAAAGAGGCTCAGAGGGGAGCAGCATGGGTCAAGGTATTCAAGAGAAAGTGTGGAGAGTCACATGGCATTTGCCAATCAAGCCAAAGATCAAAAACTTTATATGGAGGTGCTATAATAACTGCTTGAGTACAGCTGATAATCTGAGGCACAGAGGGATTAAGGTGGATGAAGTTTGCTGTTGGTGTGGAGAAAAAGATGAAAACCTGGAACACCTAATGTTTCAATGTGACAGAGCAAAAAGGGTCTGGAAACTTGCAGGATTGTTCTGGGAAGGGCTGCAGGTGGAATCAATTGACTTTAGGGCATGGTGGAATGATATTTGTCACTTGCAGAAGGGGGATAACAGTCAGGACAGAGCCACTCTATCCACCTACATCATGTGGTGGCTCTGGAAGACAAGAAACAACTGGTTATTCAATAAAGAACAATGTGAGGAGAGGATGCTAGTCAAAAGAGCTCAGAGTGAATGGATGGAATATGAAGACACCCAGGTTGGGAGGAAGATAGAGAAGGGTACCACAAGTGATAGTAAGATAAACACCAATTCTAAGGTGCATCAAGGAGTAGGGGTGCAGATTTCTGTATCCAGTGCTAATGATGTCCAAAGGATTGAGGATCATGGTACAGGGAGAGTTTGGAAATCCAGTGAGATGATCAGAGGAGGGGATGGCTCTAGGAACACTTGCAAGTGTTCAGTGGAATCAAACCTTACTCAGCTAAGAAGTTGGCTACTGGAATGTGAGGAAAGGGAAAAGCAGCAGGTGTTCATAAAGGTGCAAGATCCAAATTTGAGGAAGTGGCTAAGGGACAGGGTGATCTTTAATGCTTCATTTACAATGCTGCTTGAAGATATTTTCCAATTGTTATCTGAATTTCAGCTCTACTCTTTTGTGGACACTTTGTAATTTGTTTTGTATTTTCTGCAGTTTTTCTTTTTCTTTGTGTTAGTGTCATGGCCTTGTTAGGTCTTGTAGGGGAGTTTCTTTAACTCCTCATTGTGTTCATTATCCCAAATCTGATTTGGGGCTGATGATGTATAACCGGTGGGATGTTGTTTGTATATTTTCTGAGTTCTAATGAAATTTGATGTTTGAGTAAAAAAAAAAAAGTAAACATTCTATATAAAAATAATCATAAATTATAGTTTCAATTTTTCTAAAAATAAAAAATCAATATAATTATGAGAATCATTAGTATGAAAATGTAAAAAATAAAATTTAATATGACTTTTCACCATATATTTAATAATATATATATACCATCTATATCTATATAATGGACCAATCCTTATTGCTATAATTGACATAATTTTAGGCGGGAAATTTTTTCGTCTATATTTGAAATATAATTAAAATTTATTTATTAGCAAATCTTATGCATGAAAACATGTTATTTTTTATACACTCAGTGACTACTACTCAGTAACTACAAATTGTATTAAATTGAAATTTTGACCGTAGTTTTATTAGATATATTTTCAATGAGATATTATATTAATTTAATAGTAATTTATTGATACAATTCAAAAAATTATTATGGAAATTGATTTGATTAAATATATTATCATCTATGGTTGTAGAAACTAATTTAGTTAATTATATTTACTCAGAAGCACTTAAAATATATAATAAAATAATCAAAATAACTATGTTTAAATCACACTAACTTAATAAATAATTTAAAATATTAATAAAGATTTATAAAATATAGTCAATTTAGCATTTAAAAATGAGTAAATAGGATAATATATATAGTCAAATATCATAATTAAAAATTATAGCATTTGATAATAATTGAAATATATAATTTATTTAAACATTTAAATTAGATATTAA